TTTAAACTTAAACATAAATATATATAATATATTATTATATAAATAATATATGTAATATATTATTATATAAAAAGTTATATAATTTTTTTTTGAGCCATTTCGAGCCAAACACGAGCGACCAAACTGTTGTTCGTGTTTGGCTCGTTTACATTTCGAGCTTAAAAAATTATTCGTGTTCGGCTCGTTAGACTTAACGAACGAGCCGAACACGAGCCGCACACGAGCTGTTCACGAACAACGAGCCAAATTGACAGCCCCAATTGCAATATATCCCTAGATTTTATGAATGTCCGGCTGATCAATTAATGCATTATTTTTAGGAAGATCTACATCCCTTACCACTCAGTTCTAATGTATTTATATATCTAACACCTGAACTTCAGTTTTTACACATATATGCCATCTTATTTATACATGAAAAGGTGTATTTTACTTTTTAAAAGTTAGTATAGTGATATGTCTCATGTGAGTATAAATATAAAAGGTAAAGTCTTGGTGTTAGATATGCCAATACCTAAGATATAAGTGCTTTGCATGTAAATGCCCCTTTTTTTTTTTTCAAGTTTTACTTTATAAATGGAATGTTTGTCATACTTATGTAATTAAAATCAATGAGATCTTGCATAGGAAATTCAGTGGAGATTAATAAGGCTAGAGTGTTCTTTGTTTGTTGTGAAACAAGGCGTAAAAATTCAATCATTTAGGCTTGCCAACAAGAAAAAGGATTACCGAATAGCTCCCTAATTCTTGTAGAATGTAGTATTTGAATTTTATTCGTTAGTTTTGAGATCAGCCGTAAAAATAATACGAAATATCTGAGAATTGCAGCAAGTTAAGGGTGCCTTTTGAAAGTGTTTTTTGTGATTTTTTTTTTTTTTTTCTTAATGTCGTTGTATAATTTAATGAACTTTAGCATTTTTATGTGGTTATCTCTTTTGACACCAAATATAAGAAATTAGGTAAATGTTTGTCAATTATAGACTATGTCTTGTATTTTCTATCAACTGATTAATTTTATAAAATTCTACCCATCAATTTGTTATATAGCACTATCCATGAATTTTTAAATGAGTTTTTAAAGGATAATAAGATATAAAATTTAAAAATTTAATTAAACTTTATTTAATTCTTAATCTCCCGCTTATTTGTTCTCGGTAGACTCTCATATACTTTGTCGTGCATGTAAAGATTGAATGGCTAAGAAATATTGGAGGGGACTTAACTGTCGTGTTCTTTTCCGTTCTCCCAATTCTTCTCCCCTCGTGAAGCTTTGCCCCACGCTCTGTAGCAGAGCACGAACAAAGCACAGATGCGTGTTGCAGGGAGTTATAAGGTGAAATTTTAGAGCTTTGGGATGAAATTTAAAGTTGGAAAAC